AACAAGCAGAGACTATGTGTCCCAGGGATTCTTTGCAGTAAAAACTTCATGAAAGCATGGACCATGATCTTGGCTTGGAGGCAGAGGTTTGGGGAAAGAGAAGTGAAAACAAAGCAAGTAAGGCTAAGATTTATTAATAAGGCAAAGAACTGGGAATCAGTGTGATGTAACCAGGGTACCATGACACAGTGCCTGACCAGAGCTGGGGTGAGTGGATGTGAAGAAGAGGACCCTAGAGGGAAAATGTAAACTTGAGAATAACATGAAGTAATAATACTTTCCTTTTTGCTATTTTTTGAAACAGGGTCTCGTTATGTAGCCCAAGATTGTCTCATACTCACAATCCTCCTGCTTCCACCTAACCCTTGTTGAGGGTGGAGTTGTGTACCATAACACTTGAAGAATGCCTTATGTTTATATAGATGGTGCTCACACTTGAATAGTGGCTATGTTTATATGGATGGTGCTCACACTTGAAGAATGGCTATGTTTATATGGATGGTGCAATATGTCAATTTCTTTTCCACATGGCTATGACTATGCACTCAACACTCCTAACAAACCCATTGAGTCCTGTTTTTACCTTAGTGACTGGTCAGTTGGTTAATTGGCTGTAGTGATGGGAATTCAACTCAGGACCTTGTGGGTTCAGACTCACCAGCTACAGCTACACAGTGTGGTGCTTAAATACTGGGACATACACCCTTCCCCTGTAGAAAGGGCAAAGTATCTGTTTTCAACAAAGAGGGAGAAGACTGCACACTAAAAAATGGACAAGAAGCACAAGGTTCTGGTTTTGAAGATGGGAGAATGTTGCTGGTCTAGAAATGGTGAGTCAGGGGAAGGAGCCAGGCTTTGTAGAGGAGATGGAGTATGCCATGATGCAGCAACTAGGAAACCTCTGTGAGGGCTATTGCATAGGCTGTGAGGTCAGGCAGGCATGGGCCATGCTTCTATGTTGGTATGTATTTTTAAGTTTCAACTCTATCCAATAGCTTAATAATAACTGCCTCAAATGCTAGGACTCAGTGGGACAAAATAAGCGACATTTGTGACATAGTGCTTAACAATGAAGGTAGAGGATTGGTGAAGGGAATTGTGTGGGGTGGGTTTTTTTTTTTTGTGTGTGTGTGTGTGTGCACATGCGCGCGAGCGCAGGTGTGTGGGAGTGTTCATGCACATGTGTGTGCTTACAAGTGGAAGCCAGAGAAAAACCTCAGATGTTGTTTCTCAGGGGTCATCCACATTGTTTTTTGGAGACAGGGTTTCTCATTGTCTTGAGGATTGCCAGTTTGGCTAGGCTGACTAGCTGGTGAACTCCAGGAATCCTCCTGTCTTCTGGGCTGTTAATAAGGGCCACTTCACATGGAGTTTTAACGTGGGTTCTGAAGCTTGAAATCTGGTGAACAGCAAGCACTGTACTGATGGAGCCATCTCTTCAGCCCCTCTCATGGGGATTTTGATGATGAGGGTTGACCAGGGTTATAGTTGGGACTATAACCTGGGGATGCTATTAGTGTGCACTTGTTGCTAGTCAGCTGAACAGACTTCAGTAAAGGTCTCCTGGGGCTCCTGGTGCCAGATCTTTGCAGGGGTCCTTCCAGGAGTAAGGTGCCTGTATTTCTCCTCCAGCTCTCTGGCCTTTGCAAAATAGCTTCATATTGATGTTCTGGGCTGGCCCCCTGCTCGTGAACCACTGACCCAGATTCCCTGATCTTGACTAAGTCCTGGTTCCTACGGTGACCTGAAGCTGCTGTCCCCTCCTCACAGTGTATGCCACATAATGGCTCCAGTCACCAAATGCTTTCCTTCCAAGGATCTGTTTATAGCCCACGTGTGGAAGGAGGTCACAGTATTGCAATGCCAATTGAGACCCGTTCCTCTTTCTCTTTCCTGTTCCTGCTGATTAAGTCAACGGAAGAAGCAGCTCCTGAGCTAGACTTTCCTCACCACTCCCAACACTTGGGTGATATGCTTTTGATGAAGGGTAGCGGCAGGGCCAGCAAGAGCCAGAAGGTAGCGTCACTCTTTTATTTTTATTGTATTTTTCCTGTTAGCATTTGCTTATTTGAATTAATTCCACTTTCCTCTTTCTAGCAGATAAACTATATAGAATTACCCCCCAAAATCTGTTTATGGAAAGAAAAACGGAGTCTATTTAGAGAAAAAAAAGTAGGTACGTAATTGTTGATGTGCTATGGGGACAGAAACCGTCTCATAAAACTGATGCTCAGATGGCTGAGGCTTAGAAAATGCTGGCAGAGTAGGGAATCCTCCTGCATGTAGGAAGCAGAGGCAGGATACCGATGTGACTAGAGCCTAAGATACCTTACACACTTTCATCTCTATTTCTTCATATACTCAAATGGAGAAAGTGATTTCTAGAATGAGGTTATTTTGATGATTAAAAAGACAATTGGAGGTGCAAGTGAGCTGCATAAACAGCTGCTAAGCATTAAACAAAATGACTTGTTGGCAGTGTGCAATATTTTCAACATTTATTTACTGGGGGTGGTGTTCATGTGTATGTGGAAGTCAGTGAGCAGCTTGCACCAGCTGTGCTCTCTCTCCTTTTACCAAGTGGGTCCTGGGATCGAACTCTGGCTGTCAGGCTTGGTGGCAAACACTTTTACCTGCTAAGTCATTTCTCCATCCCATCCCACTCACAGTCTGCGCTTTATAATAAAATTCACAGAATAAGTTCCTAAATGGCTGGAACTTGCACCACACTGTAGGATTGAATCTTGACCACTCAAGTACCCTTTCTTGCTTTAGTTGCTTCACTGGTCCGTGATAGTATTAGCAATATCATCTTAGTGAGGCTCCTGGGAGGATCAACTTTTCCTCTTTAAACTTGTATGTGACTCTGAATGCCTGGGCTGGCAAGTGTTAGCACTTAGGACAGAGACCCTGCTTCCCACTAGGGCTGGATTCTAGGTGAGTAAGTTCTGTAGAACTGTGAAGCCCTGGATATATGCCAAAAATACTCTATGACGGCCCTATTGGTAGAGGGGACATGTCATTCATGCTTTAAAGAACTAAGTAGTCATTTAGCGGCACCCTCACTGTGTTCTCTTCCCTCCCTTCATATAGAATCACTTCCATTGGCTTTTATAATGTTTTCTATGGACAGTGTGGTATGCCATGACCTCTTAAAATTCATATGCTAAAGCCTTAAATCCCAGTGTGATGGTGTATGAAAGTGAAACCTTGGGGCAATCCATAGGGTTAATGAGGTTGTGAGTATGGCCCTACCCACCCCATGATGACATTAGTAGTTCATGAGAATAAAAGAGATATGTTTTCCACCTCCTGCATGAGGACACAACAATAAGATAGCTGCCTGTAAGCTAGGATGAGGGTTCTTGCCTGGAGCCAAGTATACAGGCACCTTGACCTTGGATGCCTCAGCCTCTAGAGCAGTGGTTCTCAGCCTTCTTAATGCTGTGACTCTTTAGTACCTTTCCTCATGTTATGGTGACCCCAACCATCAAATTATTTTTGTTGCTACTTCATCATTTTAATTTTACCACTTTTATGAATCATAATGCAAGTATCTGATATGATCTGTGGGATAGTCTTAGCCCCTGTGAAAAGGTCTTTCAACTCCCACAGGGGTCAAGACCTACAGGTTGGGAACCACTGATCTAGAGCTATGAGAAATAAATGCCTATTTATTATTTGTAAATGTTGTTTAAGCTACCTAGTTCAAGGTGTTTTGTTGACAGTATGAGTTGACCATGAGTCCAATTCTCACCCTACCTGGAATTCATGTATAAAATAAAATTAATTATCTATCTAACTATCTATCTATCTATCTATCTATCTATCTATCTATCTATCTATCTAATTCCTAGACTGGGGATTTTCATAGCACCCTCAGCTAGAATGCACAATTCTCAGCATCACATAAACTAGGTGTGGTAGTTCATGCTTGTAATCTCAGAATTTAGTAGGTGGAAGCAAGAGAATTAGGAAGTTCAAAGTCATCCTCAGTTACACAGCAAATTTGAGGCCTGCCTGGATACATGAGACCCTGCCTCAAAATGACGCATAAATACATACATGCATTCTTTATAAATCACCAATGATTACACGTACAGACAAGAGACAGTGACTGTGGCCAGAGGTCTTGAGGCTGGGCCCCACAGCTCTTGTTAGATAGGGAGACTAAGTTTGAAGGTCAGAGCTAGATCTTGAATGGCCAGCATTCCCACTTTTCCTAGGAGTCTCCAATGGATCTGGTGGCTGGAAAAGGCTACAGACAAAGAAGATCTCACTGGCCTTGAGTGAAAGGGGGACTCATTCATGATGACTAGAGAGAGGACAAGAAAAGTGTGGTTTCTAGGAGAGATGTGAGCCAGGCTGGTGGCAGGAGAGCAAATTTTTGTAGGAAATACCCAGAAAACAAAACAAGACAAAATACCCCCAGCTCCATTGGTTACAAGGCAAAAACCTTTAATAACACGAGTGCTTATTACATTAACTGCTTCAGGGCACTGACATCTTTGATTTCTGGTCATGTTTTTCTAACACTTAAGGGTGAATGCCTCTCTCAGGGCCACCTGTGTGGTGGGTTTCCCAAGAGCTCGTGTGGGTGGACAATGGGGACAGCTATGCATACAACTGATGGGGCTTTGGAAATCCCCCCACACTGCTGTGACCACACCTTCGACTTTTAGTAAAGTCCTTTCCCAAGGAGGGAAGAATGTTGTGGTCCTTCCAGCAAAGAAGGAAAAAATGAAAGAAAGAAAGAAAACACCTGGCACAGATACACAGAGAGGGGTAACATTAAGGGACGAGCGAGAAAAGTTAGAGGGAGTGGATGGGTTAAGGTCTGGGGGTTGAGGGACCAGTGTGGGAGGGAGTTGAGTCCATTTGGTTTCGTTCTTTGTTAGAAGTGATACCATCACGAGGACCATGCCATGCAACCTTAGAGACATCTGTGTACACTTCCCCCAAGGCTGTGCTGGGCGGCGGGGCAGAGGTCAGAGGTCAGCTCAGACAGGCGTGGTACGTCTGTTGGCTGGATTGTTATGCAGCGACTCTTTGAACTCTTTGGGTGTGGAATTGTGGAACTGTAGAAAAGCATGGTCCCGGTCAGAGTTGAGGAGGGTCCCCATGGTAAGCTTAGAGGGGTCCCGGGAGAGGGTGAACATGGAGATGTCAGTGGAAGGGATGGTGTGGAAGCCTTTGCTGATGGGAGACAGGTCTCGGGATCTAGGCTCAGTGGAGCGAGAACTTGACCGTCTTCGGAATCTATACCTGTAGGGTGGTAGGCGGGCAAATGTCGACTTCTTAAGGAGCTCCGAATGGGATCTGGCACGCAACTGCTGATGCTTCTCAATATAGATGTGCACAGCGACCACACCCACAATCTCCGCGATGATGAAAGAGAAGGCTCCAAAATAAAAGGACCAGCCGTAGGAGTAGCTCTTTTTAGAGTCCCTCTGCCCAGGGTCTCCAGCATTGGCTGATATATAAACTATGATGCCGATGATGTTGCTTAGCCCTGAGAGAAAGGGGAAAGAAAACATTCTGTAAAGACCCAGAGGCAATGGCCATTTTTAGTTTTGAAGTACTGATAGAACATGTGGAAGTAACAGGGAGAGGAGGCAATGGAGCATTGCCAGGAAATCCCACAGCTGAACAATTCCTGCAAGGGCAGCCTGTTGGGAAATGACAAGTTCTGATGCTCAATCCTGTGCGGGACACTGTCAGTTAACAGAGAGATTGTCTACTCATAGCAAGTATTGTAGAACCCAGAATGCATCCATTCTCCCTAGAAACAACCCATTTCATCACCACTTAATCTTGACACTAACTCATAAAGATGGCAAAGTGAACAAGCTTCAGGTCCCTGACCTTGAATTTCTCACCAGTAGCTGGAGAGACTGACATGTAAATGCAATTATCGCATAATACAGCAAGGACCCTCTCAGAGATGAATATGGGATGACTCAGGAGAGAGAGGTAAGTGCCTTGCTTTGAAGGCCAGGTGGCATTTGAGCTGGATCCTGACAATTGACAGGAAGGCAAGGCTGTGGACTATGAAGTGTGAGAGAAAGGACAGCCAATGACTTGCAAGGACATAGCTTGGATGCTGGGGAGGCTGGTAGTATCTTGAGTAGCAGGGAGGACCAGCTAGGGAGCAGAGCATGTCAGATCTATGGAGATGGAAATGTTGATTGGAGACCAGTGAACACACACAGTGTGGAGCTATAGTTGGGAGGTTAATTATCCGCTGGAGGAAGAAGGATGGTTACTCAACAAGTCTGTGTGTGTGTGTGTGTGTGTGTGTGTGTGTGTGTGTGTGTTGGGGGGGCTGATACTGGAAATGGAACCCAGAGCTTGTTATATACTTAGGGATTGTTCTACCACTGAGCTACACCCATGACCTCCAAGTCTTTCTTTCTTTTTTTTTCTGCACAGAATAAGACACACTTTAGGTCAGCTATTGACATAACAGGACTTAGGGAACACAAAGACTCTCTCCAATGTCTTGATTCTCAACTTGACTGATTAAAAAAATGTCTAGAAGCTTGGTATGGTGGTGCGTACCTTAAAATTCCAGCACTAGGGTGACAGAGACAGGCTGGTCTCTGTGATTTTGAGACCAGCCTGGTCTGTATAGTAAGTTTCAGGATAGCCAGGGCTGTATAGAGAGACCCTGTCTCAAAACAAAACAATAACAAAAAGTCCAGAGCTAGCAGAGATAGCACAATGCTAAGCTAGAGCACTTACTTACCTAACACATCTGAAGCCTTATTTCAACCCCCAATATGGAAAAACAAACAAACAAACAAAATATGTCTAGGACTACTGAAAGGCTCCATTGGGATCATGTGGTCTGTAACTAAGGGAATGATCCTGAATTTTAGTGATGCCAACTAATAAGCTGGGTGTGGAGTACCTGGTCAGAGCACACAAACAAACTCCACTCTTAGTGAGTGCGTCTGTTGCTGTTGCCACAGTCCCTGGACAGTGGACTTCATATCCTTTGGCTTTTCAATGAGGACTAAACACCAGTTCTTTCTGGGGGAGTTTCTGGGCATTCAATACAGATTGGGATGGTAGAGTCTTCCAGCTCCTGGATTGAGTAACTCAGGGGTTGTCTGCTTCTCTAGTGTGCAAGTACAGACAGTACTGGATTACTTACCTCTCTGATGTGTAAGCTAACCCATTACTGCCCCATGCCTGTTATGTTTCCCTAGAGAGTCTTGACTTATAAATACACTTTCCTCCCTCAAGTGCCAACAGGCTACACTGATAATAACCAGCTGCCTACCCCTTAGGAGAGGAACTGATTCCCTAGGCAATGGTGGGAAGGAGCAGTGCCCAGAGCCCTGCTCACCTCCAGTTGCCTGACTCACAATCTTGCTCCAAAGGGAAAATGTTGCCTTTTGTTCTTTTATGTCAGGGGCTCAGGCTTGCTGCCAATAATGACTGAGGGAGCTGATATACCAGCTGGCATCTCCTTGCTTCTAAATCTGCACTACCTTTTGGGCAGCATTATATGAAGTCCGCCCCTTTTTGCAAGCCCCAACACTAGTTGATGAGTAACCATCCCAGGAGCCTCTTTTGAGCCCTCCCTCCATTCTTTGAATGGCCTGTACTTCTCTACATACTCCCAATGTTAGACAACTACAGGGTTATAGAAAGCTCTGTCTAGAGGCTTGCTGCTCTTCCAGAGAACCTGAGTTCAGTTCCTAACACCCATGTCTGGTGTCTTATAACTGCCTGTAACTCCAGCTCTAGGGGATTCTATCTCCTCTTCTGGCCTCTGCAGACACCCCCCACCCCAACACATGTACACAAATAAAAATAAACCTTAAAATATAACATAAAGCTTTGTCTAGCAGAGTTGCTTTAGTGTCACCATGCTGATTAGCTGGTGCACATGTGTGAGGGCTTACAAATATTTTGCATATGACTCTGGTCATAGTCCATCTAGGACTTGCTCCTAGCAGGGAAGAGTCAGGTTTTGCCTCTGCCTTGTGTTTTCTACTGGCCTTTTGCTGGCACAGGCTTTCTCAGGTAGGGGAGATGACAGATATGGCTTTGTCAGGCTACCAGGACCACCACAGGATGAAAAACGGCTTCTCTTCCCCTGGTGTCAATTTGCCCAGATGATTAGTGGAAGACACATTCTTTTATGTTAAAATGAACACGGATATAAGGAGGAGAAAGCAGTATTCACATGAATTTTTCAGTGAAATGGGAAACTGACTTCAAAGACATTTCAGCTCACTGATGCTTCTACGGATGCCCTGAGTGCCCAGGGCCATGTTCCCTTTTTCCCCTATGACAGCAGGGAAATATGGTTGACAAAGTTTAGAAAGTCCTAGGAAAGAGAGCTTTGCTGGGGGGCAGGGTAGGGAAGTCCACAGAGATGCTCAAATGTCAAACTAGTTTAAAGAGGCAGGATGCCAAGTCCCTTTCAGTCATTCACAGGGCATTTATGAGTGGGACCTTGGACAGAGTCTTTGGTGACTTGACTTATTTATTTTATGGTGTTGATGATGGTACCCAGAGCTTCAAGCGTGTTAGGCAAGTGCAGTACTACTTAGCTACATGCCCCTAGATACACAGGTTCTTTCCTTCATTGGTTCGATGAATCATTGCAATATGTCTGCTTTGAAATAAAGGATTCCCTTTTATAGTCAGTGAAACAACACAGATTATTAAATTTCCATGTCAATATAAACTAGGAAATGATAAAATCAGAATTTGAATCCAAGACTCTTAGCCACAGTGGGAAGAGATTTCTGTAATGAGGCATAGTCTTTCCAATCAAACTGTAAGCTCCTTGAGAGCAGGGACACAACACTTGCTCATCACTCTTGCTCCAGTTTCTAGCCCAGAACTTGGCCCAAAACATACCAGAACACAGGGTATGTTTGTTGAATTAATAAATGAATGGAGTTGATGCACACATTAAACACACAAAGCATAATACAGTTACTTTGTGTTGAGCCACACTGGGTGCCAGCCACGGTTCTAGCCTCAGTTATGAGTACCAACTTATCTAACACTTTAAACAGCCTGAAGAGGCAGAGTCATTATTATCCCAACTTTTAGGTGGGGAAACTGAGACACAGAGCAGTTTAGTGACTTGCCTGATGCTATCTGACTAGAATATCGGAAGAGGGGAGATTAACACTGCAGAGCCGGGCTTCAGAGCTCATGCATTTGGACCTTGTTATCAGGCCCAGGACACAGTAAGTGCTCAAGTTTGTAATGAAACCACAAACCTTAGCACCATAAAGCACCTTGAGGAGCATGGTGTCTTCCAACACTGTTATTTTATAGGTGGAAAATTTGAGGCTCTTGGGAGCCTAGTAGAGAGGTCTAATCCTAGACAAGCATCCCCTCAGGCTCTCATGGACCCCTGTATCTAAGGTACCTGTCATCCCTCATGGTACTTCCATGAAAAGCAAGTGGCTGATGACACTCTTCCCTAACAATCCCCTGGAGGAACAAAATAATGATCGTATCTCATTCTTTGGAAACTGTCACATCAACACAACATTGGTGCAGATTCTCCTGGTTGGTCAGCCAGAGCCAGGACAGGGCCACCAGTGGAAGGAACATTCCTCAAAGCCAGTCAAGCCTCAGTTTTCCAGTTAACACTTGTCACCACAGAACATTGTCAGAAGCCATAGCTACCTCTAGCTGACCTCATCTCCCCAGGGCAAGGATACTACTTTCTCACTGGTCTGTAACTTGAATGGGTTCTCCTAAGGTTAGAGTGAGGTGCTGTCTTTCTTACTCATTCGGTAAAAGGGGGGAAAGTGGGGGGAAAGAACCCGTGCAAGGTATGACAGTGGACTAGGATACTGGCTCCATGCTTGACAATACGTTGTTGCTGCTTTTCCAATAGTAGAAAATAACATCATAAACATGCACGCCCAGTGCCCTTCCACCAGCTCTGTGAAATGGGAACCACTGCTGTTTGCCAGGTTGGAGGTGAGGAAGCCAAGTTACCAGGATAGTTAGTGATAGTTCCCAAGACCACACCAAGTTCAAAGTGTCACTTATCTACAGTCATTTTTTTTGGGAGGGGGGTCTGCAAACAGTGCAAGGAAATTCCAGAAAGAAGCAATTCATATTAATATTAAATAGCTTTGTTACAGTTTATTCTGAGTCTTCTATTTTATTTTTAGTGCTTATTATACCTCAATGTATAAGTTATACTTTCATTGTGTGTTTTTACAGAATGATACAGTGTTATAGGATTTAGTACTACTCTTTGGGTTTCAGCATCCACTAGGGTTCTTGGAAAGTATCTGTTGTGTGTAAGAGAAGACCACTGTACAGCAAAGTTGAAGGTCACCACCAAAGCCATATTCCTCTGCTCCTTCCAGGATGGTTAATAATATCTGTCAACTTGACAGTATCGAGAATCATCTAAGAAGCACTTATAGGCATATCTGGAAGGGACTTTCTAGGCTGTATTAATTAAGGTGGGAAGACCCACCCTAAATGTGGATGGCACCATCCCATGGTCTGGGGTCCCAGATTGAATAAAACAAAGACAGCAAGCTGCATACCAGCTCATCTCTTCCTGCTTCCTGACTGTGGGCACAATGTGACCAGCTCTCTCATGTTCCTGATGCCATGCTTTCTTTACTATGATGGACTGTCCCCTCCTGATGTGATCCAAAAGAAACCCTTTCTTCTCTAAACAGCCTTTGTCCGGTATTTTGGCGAAGCAATGAGAAAAATGATGAATAAACTTGTGGAGTTCTCTGCTTTCCTAAAGCATTTCATCCAGTTGGCATTGACCTGCCTGGAGCCAGGAGTGGTGGGAAGAGGGGGGCAAAGACCTGAAAGGAAGTGTGGAAACCCAGAAGGAGAGGATGACGAGGAGAGGAGGTGGTGGGTGAGAGAACCAGGACACATTTTGGAAGGTAGTCCTTTGTCTCCAGGTCACCCTGCACTTCCTGCTGCTCAGAGCTACTGTGGCTGGATGTCAGGTCTTCCCTGAGGTCATCTGGGGCTATTGCTTTTGTTACCTTCAGGGATGCTTGGGAGGATATGGAATTTGAATGCTTGAAAGGTAGGAACAGCATTTGACTGGCAAGCAGGTGTCTCAAAGCTCTTATCAACTCTTCTCCTTCCCTCTATCTCCTCTCCCTCTTCCCTTCTCTCTTTCTCTTGTCATCGCTCTTGCCTCTTTTTCTTTCCTCCTTCTCTCTTCCCTCCTTCTCCCTCTTTGGAGTTTCACTATGTAACCCAGGCTGACCTCTAATTAGTGACTCAACATCCATCGTGTTGGTTTTCTAGGCATGCACCACCATGCTTGGCTGCTGTTTGGTTAGTCTATCTCTCTGTCCCTTTTGTCTCAATAGACATCTGTCTCCTCCATGTATTTCCTTTGTGCTGGACTTGGCTAGAGTCTGGGCCTCTTACTATCTAACAGAACCCTCAGCTGTACACAAATTGATCATTCACCTTGGCTCTGGCTTTGGTTCATTGTCTAGGGAGATCCCAAGGCCTAGGCAAGATGCTCACCTGCAGAGACGAAGAAGATGCCTGCACTGAGGATGACACTGTGCCTGCTGCGGTGGAACTCACTGGCAGCCACGCAGAGTCCCCCGAAGAACAGCAGTGTGACGCTGAGGATGGGGAAGACGCTGGAGGCCCTCACAGCCCCTGTGGAGAGAAGGAGAGAAGTGTCCGTCTATGCTTCAGCCAGCCCTAGGACTCACCTTCTGTGGTTATGTGGTGTCTGAGAACTAAACAGTGCAGAACTAGACAAAAGTCCATATCCCATAGGGTTGTGAGACCAGTGCCAGCCACTCAGGGGCCTGTGTTTTGGAGATCCAGCACTTGATGGCCACCAACATCTTGAAAGTCTAAGCAATTTTACCAGTAGTGTGCATTGTAAATTACACAAAGGCGCTTGGAGCCTAGAATCACAAAGGACCCCACTTTCAGCCATCAACTTCTTAACTTCCCAGAGTATCTGTCCTCTCCTGCCTCAACCTAGTAACCAAATCATCCTTTGTCTCTCATGGGGGCCTGGGGGTGAACACGGTGCAAGCCCCAGATCCTTGGGTGAGGTTTCACTTACTTTGAGGCTATCCCTGTGCCCAGCAGAGGGCAACATTAAACAATAATCAAAAACAAACAATGGCAATCAAAACCTGTACATGGTGGGGCTGTGGAGGCGGGTGGGGGTTGACTGAAAATCTTTTGGGTCTGTCTTTTGAGCCTGGAACCCAGGATCTTCATTTTACACTGGGACCTGCAAATTATGCAGGCAGTCTTGAATTCAGGAATCCCTGTCAGCCCATTTGCAGCTCATCAAAATGCAGAATCTTAAACACCTGTATTTGCATAGTAAAGAGCCTGGCAATACCCATTCAAAACCCATTTAGTCACAGAATGATTAAATGAATTTATGTATTCACTCAAGAAATATTTATTAAGCACCTACTAGATGCTAGGCACCCTGCCAGGTGCTAGGAAGCAGCAAAAGAAACTCTTAAGGACCATAAAGGCACAGTACTGCTCTTTGAAGGGATGCTGGTTTGAGGACCTCTGATCACTGCTGTGAACTTGGTGTCTTCCTAGAGTCTGGAGAGGCTGCAGAGTCCCATGGCAGGTGTCAGTATGATCCTAGCTAGAATAAGGGTATATACTATCTAATAATCCTCAACTTATAATGGGTTGCACCCTGATGAACCTTAGGATGCTGAAAAATACTGTAGGTGCAGCAAGCATTTCCTACACTGATGGGCCAGCCTTGTAGCAACACAGCATACCATAGAGTGTTGACCATCTCCTCTCAGCTGGCAGGCTGACTGGGAGCCATGACGGATGCTGCTGCACCTCATGAGAGAATCAGTTCACATATTGCGGGTTTAGGAATAGACCCAAGTTTGAAATGTGAAGCCAGGCTCTGCTGAGCATGCATTGCTTTCAAACCACTGAAGGGTTTGCAAATCCCAAGATGAAATGCCCTAAGTCGGGGACTGGCTGTATTTTCTTGAATTGGTGGGGGATGGGAGAGCAGTTAGCGCACTCTGTATTTCATACTACAGAAAGGAGAAAGCACCTCTGTGTGGCTAATGGTTGATTTGTTCTAAGTTAATCTGCATGCATGCATTATTAATGGTTTGTTTGTTTTAACTCTCCCAACCAGGCAGCTCCTGGAGGAGTACAAAGAGCTGACTGGTCTAGATGTCCAGAAAGATGATAATTGACAGAGGCGTGGACATCCCAGGAATGTGGAGATTACCTGATTGGAGGGACAAGCTTGGGCACTAGTGATGGGCTGTCTCATTCTCAATAACAACACTGGCTTGAGAAGAGGTGTGAAGGTGAGCCTAAGAGTGTCTTCTCGGACCCCCTGAGTAAAACTCACCTTAAATATTCAGTAACAGGCAGCATAAGCTTTGTTCTGGCTGCAGTATACTCAGGCCTGGATAAAGAGCCTGAATGAATTCTGTGCTCATCCGTACATTAAGAAGCCACAGACCCTATCCTCATGAGGTTTATGCTCTAGTAGAGACCACAGGCGAGGCCGAACACATAGTTTGCAGGACCTTGTACAAAGCAAAGATGTGAGGTGTCTTGTTGCAAAGTCGTTTAACAATTCAAGATGGTGAAGGAGGTGCAATGAGAAGGACTTTTCCCATGGGCTGGGCCCTGAGTGATTGACAGGACTGCAGGGATCCAGGTAAGAGCTGGCATGGCTTGGACTAGTGCAGTGAACCATGGAAGGTGAGTGATTGAATTCAGGCAATATTTTCTATGTGAAAATATTAGCTGATGCTCCGATAGGAGCTGTGAGAAAAAGATTCATGAACACCTGTCATGCTTGCTCTCAGAGTGAAGTGAATGGTGGCACCTTACTGTCACCTGCCAGCCAGAAGAACAGAATAGGGGTGGGGCAGACAGGTGTATAGCTTATTTTGGCTCAGAGAGGTTCAGAGCTCTGAGTTCATGTCCCTCACAGTCACATGACTTAGCTCCTGCCACTTACATTGTTCAGATCTGAAAGTCAAAACTCATTCTAAGATGCTGTGACCGGTTTGGGTTGGTTGTGTGTTTAGTCGTAACTGGGTTGAGGTGCAGGACACAAAGGAATGGGTTCTCTTAAGGTAGAAGAGATGAGGGCTTCCGTATTTGCTTCAAGATGTCTCAGGCTGGAGGCCTGGGCAGTTGGGAGTGCTGGATAGCTGTGTCCTTCCCAGCTCCCTGCTCCCATAGTGACATTTTAGGAGGGCTTTCAAACTGAAAAACTGGTTGAAAGAAGAGAGGCATGGTGGGTGGGTGAGGGGATCCTGGGCCCTGGAAGGACCAGATTAGATCAGTCTTCCCTGAACATGTGGTCTGCCCTGGTTATCTTTGCTACTGCCCTGGATTGTGCTGGGGACTAAGAGAATGATAATCTGAAAATATAATGGGTTTTTGTTTTGTTTTGTTTTCTTGTTTTGGTATGCTGAGTAATTTGATTTAAAGTAAATGAAACACTGTTTAAAAAGCAGGCCCTGTGTCAAGGTCCCTCTGACCTTGTGTCATTGTGTCTCCCCATCCTAGCTTCATGCCCCTGCTCCAAATGCTAGCAGAGGTTTTCTGTGGAACTCTCTTATCTCCCTGAAGTCTGGACCCACCAAAGAGGAAGCAATTACTCTAAGTCTCTTCCCTGCATTTCCATTACCTCAACTCATTTCCCAGGAAGACTGCAGTCTACTGACACACCTGGACAGACTTCTGTTCGTCACCCATGGCTGCCTCTACTTCCATTCCACAGAGAATCATTTACAACTCATTGTGTGTTCTGGTGTCAGAGTTTGTTCCGGGCCATTGCATATTTAATAGGTCTATTGGGTTTAAAGGAAAGCTGTCTGCTTCCCCCGTTCCTTTTCCCCCAATGGAATAAAGGAGTCTATAGCTTTCTAAGTCATTTTAGATCAGCACTCATGCTCTGGTGACCGCCCAACAAGATGTGATTTCCTCCCTTTTTTCACATCCACACATTTGTAAGCCTCTCTCCAGTTGAGTGTGTTTATTACTCGTTCATTCCGATAGAACTTCAGAAGGTGCAGTGGAGGTGGGGTTTCTTTTCCCCTTAATACTCAGAGGAGGTAGAGAGGGTCCTCATGGTAATTTTGGTCCTCGGGTAGAATATGATCCCAGGGAAGCTGGGATCCCAAGTGTGGGTATAACTTAATAGGTCTAGCCTTGGGAGTAACTTATCAAATAATTCCTAAAAATTTCCATGTTTGATGTGTGGCTTTGCAAATGGGTACCACTGAAAATTGTGTGTGTTTGTGTTTGGTGGTCAGAAGGAGTAATTTGTAGGAGTCAGTTTTCTCCTTCCACTGTGGGTTCTGAGCTGGAGCTCAGGGTTGTCAAGCTGGGAGCCAGGCACCTTTAATCTTTGAGCAGTCTTGCCAGTCTGAGAATCAACCTTTAAAGGGACCATTTGCATTGTGAATTGGCAGGGTTTGCTTGAATATTCAATGTAATGAGTTTATTTGATTAAAAGATTTTTTTAATTAAAAAAATGATTAACCTTTGAAATGTGCCCCAAGGACATGCTCCCAACATTGGAAGCGATGAGGTTGATTATAAAAGTGTATATTTGGACTGGCCTGGTGGCATAGGCCTGTTAAACACTCTGTTAAGAAGGCTGAAGGCAGAGGAACACAAGTTTAAGGCTTGATTGGGCTACAAGGTTACTTCAAGGCCAGCCAGGGTAATGAGATCCTATCAAAAGAAAACAAGAAAAGAAAAGAAAAAGGGCTAAGGGCTGGAGACAGCTCATTGGCAGAGAACTTGTCTCTTGCTTGTCGAAAATGAGGCCCCTACCAGGCTGGTAGTGGTGGTTCACACCTTTAATCCCAACATTTGGGAGGCAGAGGAAGGAAGATCTCTGTCTATGTGAGTTCAATACCAGCCTGATCTACAGAGTGAATTCCAGGACAGCCAAGGCAACACAGAAAAACTTTATCTTGAAAATAACAAACAAACAAACAAACAAACAAATGAGGGCCCCACCACACACATACACAACAAAGGTGCATCTGAAACATGTATGTGCTATGTGCGGAAGGAGGGCTGTGACTGAGGCCAGAAAGGAACCAAGTCTTCAAAGTTAGCTTGTCCAGGAAGCATCTCTAGACAGGAAATGGAGCTTCCTCTGGCAGAATGGAGGTTAACTGCAATCCACACCTCAGAGATGCCTCACCTCCTATAAAGCCATCTCAGGCTAGGATTGAACATCCACCAATCAGATTTGCCCTCATTTGCATGGTGGGGAATGCAGGGCAGGTCATTGGGTGATAGTGGCTTACCCTATCCCTATCCAAATGAATGATGGCAGCTCCAAAATGAAGACCCCACCCCCACCACAAACAGCCCAGCATATTATGCCAACAACTGTTCTCTTACTGTCGTTATATTTGCAGCATACTAGATAAACTTGTCATTTTTCTGCTCTTTTCTAGACAGAGACAGACAGACAGAGAGAGAGAGAGAGAGAGAGAGAGAGAGAGAGAGGGAGAGAGAGAGAGAGAGGGAGGGAGGGG